AAGATGTATGGCTGGTTGTCCAACTGCGGGTTCGGTTACTGCTATTTTCAAGCTCATACATTACTATCTTTTAGGTTTAAAGTCGAAAACGTTTTGCGTAAGGTTTGAAAGTCCAGGTTAGTGAAAAAATATCATTTCGATGGTATTCAGTGTTTGCTTGTTTTTTTTTTTTTTTTTTGTTGTATGTTTTTCCGGGTTTTTTTTTGGGGGGGGGTGGGGAAAGATAAATCATTGATAAACATCAATTACAAATTTTGCTTAGTGTAAATTGTATTTAAGCGATTTGCAGTGGCGACATTTATCAAGAAATAGTGAGACATTCATTATCTTCATTATCACAACTAAGAAATTAAGCAATGAAGGAAAAAAAATCGATTTCTATAAGTGGTATTGACCATACGTTTCTTTTTTAATCTATTCCATATGAAAATTTCATTTTTTTTTTAACATGAAACACGTTCGCGGTTTTATTTTTCTATAAATCCAATAAGCGCAAAAATGAAAGAAAAACGAAAAGGGGTTTTCAAAATTGTTCATATCAAAAGCAATCTATTGCTGGAGTTTGGGGAATCAAGTTCTCCTTCCTTTTAATCTCTTCATCTTCCATCTCTCAAACCACAGTGACAATTGCTAAAATTAATCAAGCTTACAGTTGAAATGACAGCTGATGAAATGTTATGTTGCGTGTCGCAATTAATTCCCCGCACAACTTTTATCTTTCCCTCACCAAAAAAAGCACGCAATATTTGTTTTTCAACTGGAAATTGGGATCTGCAAATATGGCGAGGGTTGTCGAATGGGGAAAACGAGCAATTAGACACTGTTAGATGGTTAATGAATTTATCTTTTAATCGTACCGACGCAATTATTTCATTTTCGCTGTCATATTAGTGTTTGCTAAGCATGATTATTTAAAAGGAGAATTCATTTTGATTCTGGTGTCGTCAATCTTTATGTCACAAACGTTGTCATTTTCATTCCACGTTCTTAGGCACTGTTTGTTATAGAGGACATCGTGGAAATGCGATGTTTCATTGTTTTCAGAAATAAATTTAATACATCACGGACTTCAACAGGATGAGCAGAAATCGTTTAATTTCAAAGACCTATTAGGCAGATGAGAGTATAGATTTACATCGTGTAAAGGCTTAACTTCGGTTAAAATGGGAGTTAACGATTTTAACGATGGCAGTCATATGATGATTTTAATAGACTGAAATTCCTTGTATCTAATAAGAAAACTTTATTCACATGGTATATATTTCGCTTATAACATATTAACAATATTTCATATGAAAAACGCGTGAACGAAACATGGAAACAATATAAGTAATTAAATAACTTTTCAAATAATTAAGCATTATTTCTAATTAATCTAAATTTAATGTTCAGTATAAGGCCAACAGGAATCAAGAATAACCTTCCGCGTTGAGCATTAAACTAGATCCAAAAGGTGATGGGTGATTGCATGCATTTTCAACTCGGGTCCGTTGTCGTGTTTTCAAGCGGCAAAGAAAGGGGTAACAGGTCATTCTGAAATCTTAAAAAACACTTTTGATTTTCAAGGCCGTTTAAAACTTTTCAGTATTTATAGTTAGTCGACTGACTTCTTGCGAAGACCTGTCAGTATCAAGCGACAGGTTTAGAAGCTAGGCTAACGCTTTATTCCCCCTTTGCGTTCCTCTTAAAATACAAATATTGAATAACTTGTATATAATTTGAAGGCCATAACGGGGCCGTAGTTTGCGATCGGGTACATTTAATTTAAAGCAATCAAGCTGTCTATCTTTTCTCGCTTTAATTACAAGCTAAGATAGAAATCTAGCTCGCGCTTCACTACTTCTATCGACTTTTCTCGAGCAAAAGTGACAACTGCGAACGAGGACGAAGAGGAGACAAATACCAAGTACCAGAAGAAGAAAAAAAAATCAAAGTTTGCTAATGTACAGTTTGACAAGGCGCGTTACAAAATAACACTTTCTTCGCTCTCTTGTCGATAAAGTGAAGTCATGTAAGCGTAAAGATTTTGGCGATTGACTCTGACTTACTCATGTTAACTGTTTCGTGCTATTGATTTGGTTTTATCACACAACCAAAATCGATTTCGTATTTCGGAACGTATCTGGGTGAAAAGGAAAGGATGGTTAAATAGTCCTAAGGGGCTAGGCAAGGTGTATTGTTACCTGCCAAAATTAAAAAGGAATAGACTGAACCTTAGGATCATATAGCTTCAACCATTTCTGTTTATGAACTGAATTTTTAAAAATGAAAGGCAGGTAAATTTATATCTACTACAGTACATCTACTGCGTGTATCATGTTTATACCGACTCAATTTACTAATTAAATCCATAATATTTTCCATGTGGCAAGCTGTGGAGTTATTTAATGACTATTTTATTTTTGTTTATTTTTTGTATTATGTCTACATTCTGTCTTCCTATTCAAATATGATATTCATAATATGTTAAGTGATATTTTAATAAATATAATCATTCTTTTGCCATCTTATCTTGTTCATCTTCGAAATTATTTATTGCAAAAGCTGTACGAACCTTAAAATATGGCAAGCAAACCGTATTATTTCCATCGGAAAATGAAGAAAATTAAGTAATTTATAAAGGAAGGAAAGCCCAGCACCTCTGCCCATGAAATGACGAGCAAGTAATGGCGGATCGACAGACTTGTCATGTGATTGATTTATGACACGTGACACCTGAGACACCAGTAACGTGCGATAATCAGCGATAGCAATCAGGCATCGGTATCGTGAAACGTCGATCACTCGTCAGGAGACGAGCTCTGATGCGATTGGCATGTTTGGATATGATTCCAGAAAATAGATGACGAAATATGACGAGAGATGACGAATTACGGAAAGGAATTTCGGACGAAACTCTGTCTCTATTTCATGAAGACTTAAAGGAATGAATTATTGTTGGACGGTATCACTTTAAAGATCAGTTGTGTTATTGTCAACTTCTTCTCTGGTGATGCATGTATAAATTGAGAATGGGAGGTTCAACGTTTTGAATTGAAGAGAAATGAAGTGGAATATGAATGAAATGTCATTGTGCCAAAGGTCGAAAAAGGAAATTTTACACGGAAAAATACAATAGAGCTTCAACCATTACAAACCCCGATCGGAGATGCAACATTAATATTTAAGGGTTTTTCTCGTACATTGTCGTGCATCTCTATTAAACAAAATTGCAATATCAATATGAATAATCAACATTAAGATATAAACATCTCGCCGTCTCTGAAATGCAGACGAACGATACTGATCCCAAGAACGATATCGATACTTGTCTGGATATGACGGAAAATATATTTATGATCTTCCATATTGATATGTATGATGATGATGATGAAGTTGATACATCGTGTGCCATAGTTGGCAGTTCACTTGCTTATGCGCAGGAATTATTGCAAAATGCTGTGTATAGACCGGTATTGTAGTCGTAACCTTGGAAATTAGATCCAGCCAGGAGAACAATTTCACTTTTCCTTCCCCTTTATTCAAGGGTGATCTTGTTGGAAATAAACTTATTTTGGCGGGAAAATATGTACAATAAACACTTATCTCACACTCACCACTTAGGTGCGATAGAAATGCCAGCGGTGATCGATTCGGAATGGGGGTGATTTTAGCTGAATTATATGACAGGCAAGATACTGACGAAGCCGCTAGAAACATCACATAACATCTTAATTGAGGGCAGCACTTTGCCTGAGCGGGCAAATTTCCTCGCTCACCAGAAATCAATAAATGGCGAACTGAAGGGCAATTGAAGTGCCTTCCAAAACAGGAAGTGACGTTTGCGACGTTGACATTACAGTTTCTATTCGTAGCATATACGTTGGACTCTCTGGCTCTCTGTCCCCCCCCCCCCCCCTCTCTCTCTCTCTCTCTCTCTCTCTCTCTCTCTCTCTCTCTCGCTCTCTCTCTCTCTCTCTCTCTCTCTCTCTCTCTCTCTCTCTCTCTCTCTCTCTCTCTTTTCCTCTCTCTCTCTCTCCGCCTCTGATCCACGTTCTCTTTTATTACCCTCTCTCCATCTTTCTCGCTCTCTTTCTCAGATCTCTTTTTCGATCTTCTGCCTGTTCCACTTCTGTTCGTACCACGTCGTGCCTGGTCATGTCATATTATATCGGACACGGCTCAAATTCTAGCTATCATCCACGGCATTTGTCTGTTTTTTTCTTTTCCATCGTCACCTGCTTTTTGGCTATTATTAGTCATCTTAGATTAATATTATAGATCTGTCTATATCTGTGTATTATACGCATCTATCTTTCTGTCTTGTCTGTATTGTCTTTTTGTCTGTATTCATATAAAACATGATTTGAAAGACCATCTCCCCCAAAACAGCTTAAGGGCAATGTCGGTATATTAATTTTGCGTATTGCCTAGAGCAATCATTTTCAGATAACGTAATAGGCCTAGGCCTATGTCATTTTCGAATATTTCAATACGTGACCACATACAAGGCTAAGTGAACTTGTGTTGGGTTAATTTTTAAAAGTGTTTGCAATCGTGTTATAAATGTCTTTTGCAATTTCATGAAACAATTTCTCTCTCTCTCTCTCTCTCACACACTCTCTCTCTCTCTCTCTCTCTCTCTATCACACACACTCTCTCTCTCTCTCTCTCTCTCTCTCTGTTCTTTTAAACTTTAAAGATCTCGTCTTAAGTAGATATCAAACTACTATTATAGCAAGTGTCGCGTGCAACATACTTAGTAAACTAGATCAATGCGAGGTCAGCCAGGAGCGTGATATGATTGTCTGGATGTTAAAAATACAAGGGCAAAAACTCGGGCAGAACATTATACTCCTACATCAATGATAGGTAGGGGGAAAGTGTCACTTAAATTCCTTATAAATCGTTTATGTTGGTGATTTTATTGATCATGTTGATACAATTACAAAAAGAAATTCTCTTCATCTTTGAAAGCCTATAACATATTCGTTTTTCTTTCACTCTTTCCTCTGCTACAGGTTTGGTTTCAGAACCGGCGTGCAAAATGGCGGAAGAGGGAGAATACTCGGAAAGGCCCCGGTCGCCCCGCCCACAACGCGCACCTGACATCATGCAGTGGAGACCCTATCCCTCCTGATGAACTTGAGCGAAGAGAGAGGATGAAGATGGAGAGGAAAATCAAGAAACAAAAAGAGAAGACAGATAAAGTACCGAATCGACAGGTGTCGAGGAGAGTTGGTGGTGGCAGTCAGGCCGAAGGGAGTGGTGGTGGAGATGGTGAGGAGAGAAGGCGAGACTCATGTAGTTCCTCAACGGGTATATGTGTGGATGGACCGGGAGGCTTCTTAGCGGACGGTCATCTCTCCCAGAAAGACTTCATGGAAAGCTCTAGCGCTGAACCTAGCGAGATCGATTCAGAATGCATGGACAGTATGAGTATTGATACAACGGAGGAGCAGCGAAAACTCCCGGATTCGCCGCGCTTCAAGTTAGCGGCACGAACACTCCTTAATCCGCTGCGTGGCGTCGGGCCGTTACCGCGGTTCGACGGCGATAAACTTCAAGATTGCGACGCTGCCTCCGCATTCCATAGCTCGTTTAGTATCGATAGACTTCTGTCTCGCCAGCCGGAGCAGCACCGGGATATCAAACCAGGAACCGTCGCCGCAGCCGCCGCTGCCGCTGCCCTCTGGCCCGACTTCTGCCCTAGCTACGCGCTGGCAGCACCCAACCCTCTTGCGTGGGGCGCACTTACGACATTCGGGTTCCCGAGGATGTGGGCCGGTCTGACGGCTGATCGACTAGCAGGTTGCCTGCGGGCTAACAGTCAGCAGATGGGCCTGCTAGATGCATGGAGAGAGAGAAAGACAATGAGTGTTGAGGCTCTAAGAAAGAAAGCACAGGAACATAAAGAGGCGTTGAGTAAGAATGAACTCAGCGACGGATGAACAGAACTTGTATAAATAAATGTATCAAATTATTGTAGTGTATGATAGTTATTAATATCTTACAAGTGTGGAGTGGAGGTTATTGACAAAAATATTGAAGTTATTTTGAAGATTAAATTATATTTACTTTTTATGTGAATCAGGAAAGAATGAATTTATTATAAGTTTAAAAATCCATTTTTTACCAAATGGAAGAAAACATGTAGGCCTAACGATTGCCATGGGAACTGTTTTCCAGGGCACGCAGGGGCGGGGACCTTTCGATTTGTCTTCATTCTGTATTAATTAATAATATTAGAAATTTTATATCAGTCTAAAATCTGACCTTGGATATTTGCCTACATAAATACCATGTTGTGGGTGTCACTCCCAAAACCTCGCCTTTGGCAATATGAGAAACTTACCATAATCATCCATGGTTATTAATGATCATCCAATACAGCTCATGTGGGCAAATAGTGATTCACTATCAGTGTTTCATATCAGCTAGTAAGCCCAATGGTTTCCATTTGGTGTGCGTGCTATAATATGTAGTGGCGTAGAAGCTTTAGGGTATATGGGTACACGCCCCCCCCCCCCCCCTCACCCACTGAATAGTTAACACCGAGATACGAAATAGAGGGACATAGAGAACGGACGAGAATAACGTATGGATCATTTCCTGTATCCTTCCACTAATCGGTAGCTTTGTAAATGTGCATTTAATTTTCCGAGTAAGACCGGCGCCCCCCCCCCCCCCATGGGCGGACACACACTACGCCATTGCTGTTTTATGCAAACATAGTATCCGATGCTACCTCGGTTGTTATCGTGATTATGGGGTTATATACAGTTGGGTAGTTATTAATAGGTAAAATTATTTCAAAGTTGACTGGTCATTGAATAGATAATACTACATCGTAAACATTCACTATTGTGACTAAATCGTCACTAGCTGCAATTAATCACTCACATCACAATTGGATGTTATTTAATTTCTCATTCCTGTGACATACATAATGTGTTTACTGATGTGCATCTAGAGAGTGTGGGTTGAGGCACCTTGGTAAATAATAATGGGTGGCCATAAAATTATATTATAACCGGCTCTCGTAACTGACAGAGCCTTTTTCGCAAAACATGATGTTTGTCCTGCATGTATGAATGTGCCGCTTTCGAGTAAGATGGACCACTTTTAAAGGCACCATTAATCTTTTGAAAATACATTCTATGAACTTATTCCAAAAGATAGTGGGAAGCAAATCATTTTGAGAGTGACAAGGTATATGAAATGAATTTTTTGAATAATCCAACTATATAGTTATGATGGTGATTTTAACCATGATTCTATATAACGATAGGAATAGAATTAGCTGAAATGATTTGTACATCGTATTGGGATACTGGGTTTATTATGAGCAGTATTTTTGCTAAGTATTTTGAGGAAAGGTTATGGACTTTACTCCATCTTCTAGTTTCACATTCATATCAAACCAAAATTGAAGTTTAAAGACCAAAGATCAACATTCTTTATTGCCAAATTTTTTAACCGCCAAAAGTATGTAAAACGATTTCTTTGTTCGATTGAAGAAACAAAAATGACATGAGGGCAAGGATTTGTGGTTGTGATATTTCTCTCCAAGCCTTGAATTCTTATAATGTTTGTCTGTTCGACATGTATGTTTTCAAGACTGGCAAACATGTCTATTTCGTTTTCTTCATAAGTCTCTTAAACAATACAAAAACCTAATGGAAATACACGCAGTGCTATATATATCTTGCTTTGTTATCATGGAGCAGCGATTATCTTTAATACTAATTACCGTACTAAAGAGGGAAAGACAAATACATGCTTCTTTAAACATGTTAAATGATATAAATTGGCAATATCTTAAAATGGGACAGTGATGTTTAGCGCCTTTTCCAGAGAGAAAGATTGTAACCTGACGTTATAAGCACTATGCAGAGAATTATTTTACCATTACAGCAAAACAAGAAAATGTTAAGAGAAAATCTTGTAATTCAATTCGTTTGACTGTGGTTCAATGTATTGTAATCTACAACTATTTTTGTAAGAAGCAAAGAGGTTTCTTAACTCTCCTCGAACAAGAAGCAACAAAAGATTCGCGTAAAATGCGCCATCTTTATAATGTACCGTGTCATTCGATCCCGTCGCCTTCAATTCGCTGTATTTTCTTTTCCCTCAGAAACCCCCTAACTCTCCTCTTTTAATTGAGTCACAAAACTATTAAATATCATGCGATAAATCACCACGTCTCATGCTCGCCATCACGTAAACGTAGAATCCAATTTGTTGCGAAAATCTGTTATTTTTTCGTTCCCGCCATCCAATCCCGTGCGGTTTAGCAAGATACAATCTCAAGTACGGGAGACGTAACAAAAATTTAATTTCCTTGACGGGCTCTCGAAATCGGAAAAGAGAAAAGCGTAATTTCGTCCTCCAAAGACAAGGAGGTGTGCTGGAGAGAAATAACAGGCTAGGTGATGCTGTTACATGGATTCTTGAGAGAATGAGAGTAAAGAGAGAGTTTATTCACTTGTCCACGGCTTGATGTAGCGGTTTTAATTTTCACTCTTGTTTTACCCGCTTGATTGAATAGGAGTGGACGTTTAGATTAGGGTAACTGCAAACGCTCTCTGTTGATCGTACAAGTCCTTTTTTCCCCTCGTGAATCTTCGAGAGTGAGATTGAATTGAGGGTAATTATTGCGATTTTCGTTTAAAGGATTAGTTGAGACTTGGCTTGTCTATTCAAGATAGCAGGCTAGTATCATGTTCTAAAGAATAAAGATTTGATTGACACGTTTGTGTGCTTCAATTTATAAATTAATGAAAGTCAATTTCAGAAAATTCCTTATCTTAAGACTCAAGTTACTTTAAAACTTATTCAATGGAAAATGAGGAACGATATTGCTGATTTAATCAGTAGATGTACTTTAATATCACTTTAACACGGCTGCTGTGCAATTTTCTAATTATCAAGTATGTGTTCTTTGTATTTATGAATACATCTTTAAATCGTTACGTTTTGTTATACCATCAAGCATTCTTTCATCTGTACCTATATCATGTATAACGATACAACAAGATCGCAACTATTTTCAAAAAAATCAACTCAGGTGCAATTCCATAACCATATTGTACATCCCATCGAAATATCGTTCGGGTTACGTAATTGGTCATTATCATGTTTGTACTATTCACAGTGTGACCCGCACATGTATATTTTTCGAAAGTATTTGCGATCGTGTATCACTAACAAACCTAAACACGGTATTATATTTGGTAAATTTAACATGCACATTGATAGTGTCTGTGCTGTCTTTGGTAATTTCTTGTATAAGATATAATTCATTACCGTTCTCTGATCCACCAAATATTCAAATTCTTGATTTAGGTATCGACAAAATGAAATCCCTCAGGACGAGGGGTTAGAATTTCGTTTTAAATAGAATTAGATTTAAATAGAGTGTATTGACACTGTTGCAGTGAATATGAGTTTCCGACGATTTATTGCTGGTATATAGTATTTAAGGGGGAAAATGCCATGAATTGTAATTGTAAATAGTCTACTAAAGAAAAGAAAATATCAAACTGTAATTATGTTTATACACATGATATAAGAATAAAGATAAAATGACACGAATTAACGTTATTGTCTTCTCCATAAATATTCAGTCATGAGATGATATATATTTATAACATAATGTGTATACGGAGGAAGTGTGAGAATTCGTATTATGGAATACGATGTTGACGGTGGTGATGATAGTATTAGTAATGATGATGATGACAATGACGATGATGATGGTGATGATGATGGTGACGATGATGATGTTGATGATGATTGTAATGAGAGTGATGATGATGGTGATGATGGTGATGATGATGGTGATGATGATGGTGATGATGATAATGACAATGATGATGTTGTTGATGATGGTGGTGATGGTGATGATGATGATGATGATCATGATAATGACGACGATGATGGTGATTATGATATTAACGATGGCGATGTTGATGGTGATGACGATGATGATGGTGATCAATATGGTGATGCTGATGATGATAGTAATGATGGTGGTGAATGTGGTGATGATGATGATGATGATGGTGATGTGTTTTAGGACGGTAGTGATAACGGCACTAGCGACGTCTGCCATAATGTTGATAATGGTCATGAAAATGATGATGATGGTGATGATGGTGATGATAGTGGTGGTGGTGGTGTTGGTGGTGGTGACGGTAGCGTTGTGGTGGCGATTAAAAGGGAAATAATGATGACAATTATGATGAGGGCACGATAATGATAAAGATAATGGTGACGACGATGATGATACTGATCATGATGATGATGTGGATGTGCTGAAAATATACCAACCATGGAGCGATGATAGTGATCATGACAATGATGGTAAAGATGATGGTGTTGACATTTTTTGGTAATATTAACAGTGATGATGATAATTATGATGAGGAGGAGGAGAAGAAGAAGAAGGAGGAGGAGGTGGAGGAGAGGAGCAAAATGCTGCTTGTGTTGATGAAGGTGGCCGTTGTTATACTGTCCGGTGATGGGTATCGCTATAATGACAACGATGCTACTTATTTTGATGATGGTGGCGACATAACTACGACGACGATGATGGTAATGATATTGATGATGATAATGATGATGATGATGATGATGACGATGATGATGAGTATGATGGTGGTGGTGGTGATGAAGATGATGTTGACGAAGATAAGGATGATGATCTGTATAATGTTGTTCTTGATAATGATGACGGTGTTGGTGCTGATGATGATGACGAGGGTGGTGGTGATGATAATATGTTGATGATGATGATGATGATGATACTGATAATTTTGATGATGATGCTGATAATGATGGTACTGATAATGATTATGATGATGAATGTCGTATTTCTGGTCGAAGGATTTATGCTGAGAAAGACGCCAGTAATTATGTCGACGACCATGACGATTACGGCACGACGACATTAACGCGACAGTGATAATGATGACAATAGTAATAATGAAGAGAACACATTAACGTCATTGGACAGGCCTGGATAAAGAAAACGATTTTTTTTCTTCATATTTAGATAGAGTATCTTTTACCATCCGGTCATGTGAGCATTAACACAGGATTGTTAGGGGAAGCATTCAGTCTTTAATAAACACTCGATTTTCGCCCTATTTCACACAACAATTAATGAAAGACAATTCAGAATCGTAAGTTTCCTTTCCAAAAAATATAGAATGAACAGAGAAATTACAAATTAAATTGGCAGAGTCTACGGCTTTGATTTTCGTTATTTTTAGAATTGTTATGTTGTTTGTATCATGGATCCACCTTGTTTTATAGAGGTGGTATTTAAAACTCTACTAGGTTTAAATGAAAAAGAGGTGTTTGGGGTCTAGATATAAAATGAGCGTTACAAAACAATTTAAAACTGTTCTCTTTCAAAAGCCCAGTATGTAGCATTTTTCTACACACAAAATATGAACAAATGGAAGAAGATTTTATAACGGGTTTGTAGCTACAGAGTATATCCTGAAGCAAACATTCCCCGCCGGCAATTTTGAGACTCATATAATTAATTTGTTTTGACTTTTTTGAGAAATTCATCAACTAAGTTGTTTTCGTGGGGGAGGAATTTCGTTTGATTACATCAAGAACAAAACTAATTTGAAGTATGATGCAAGGCAACAATGGGTTGTAGGTAATTGGGGCATTTTTACAGTTCTGTTCGAAAACGAAATATCTCTTTACATAAAATTGTTCGCCTGTTTGCATGTTAATCCCAATAACATGTTTTGTATAGTGGGTAGTTTCCACGTATACGACCCCTTGAAATCGTCTGTCAGAAGTAAACTGGCTCCCTTAACTAGGCCCGATTTAAACTGAAGAGCCTAATTTGGAAGGGAGAAATGAAAAAGTTCCACTTTTCTCGATAAAGACGTGGGCAGATTTGAAAACCCTCAATTATATGGAATCAATTTGGCACGTAATGATACGACGATAAAAACGCGGAAAGTGGGCATCTCTTTTCAGCGATCGGTGATTGAATTACGCTCTGGCGGCAGGTATCGATAATCGCCAATCAAACCACCTGCAATCTTTTATAACAGGCTTTACAGCTTTTTAGTGACTACTTGATATTGATTTTGTAAAATTACGTTGTTTACCAGGCAATCGTTGGTGCGTATCGGGGGCGAGGTATAATCACCGTCTTACACGGTGGTCCACTGTTCGGTGTCGCCTGCAAACAGGTCAACAATTGCTCACGTCTGCGATCCGCCACAGTGCTTTAACGTCAACAATAGAAAATAAAAGGATCGCGAATCAAAACGAACCGTTTTATGGCAGATAATCGCTGGTAATTGAGTGTTCGCATACCAGTATAATGGTCGCATGACTCAAAAGTCAAGATGTTTTGGGCGAGGTAAAAAATATATAACTGTTTTTAATCAACAAAGGAGCCCGAGATGAGAGTCTCTCGCTTCAAGTGGCGAAAGGGTTGCATCAACTCCACCAGATAGTCCAGACGTCTGGTCCCGATCACTTCGGCCAGAAATTCAGGCGCAGTGCTGTGGTACAGTCTGGTCGCTGAATAGTGAGAACAAAGTGATGGAGTTAATTAGCGACAGGAGCCAGTCATGCTGCAGTCTTGGTGGAATATTTACGGCGAAAGATGTTTGAATGCAAGATGCTATTTCCTATGCTTACTCAATTAAGTTTTTAAAGTCTTCTGTATATTTAAATAGGCCTATACTATGAACAGTTTGGTGATTTGCATGATGAAACTGTTTTTCTTTATTCGTGGTACTTGAATTAGTCCTCTCCTCGTTGCATTATTTCTTCTCTGTTTTCCATTACCTCTTGTTGTCCTCCTTCTTGAATTCTTCTTTCTTGTCTGATCTTGTCATAATTTATAGAATTTCTTTCAATCTTTATTTTAGTCCAC